AGATGTGGGTTTGCACATTCTTCACGTTCTCCCTTTGAAAATTAAAAAAAAAAGAAAAGAAAAAAAAGAAAATAAAAGACTCTTTTAAAACAGAATAAGCATACTTCTTATGTATTGTTTATATCTCTGGTGCTAGAGATACAGACCTTGGAGAGGTCTGCCCTTAGCCCCAGGTCTGCCCCATGAGTGGCAAATGTCTTCCTAGAGTGCCAGCAAAGAACCCACAACCAGACAAACAGAGAAAGAATGTCGCTCCTTCAATAGAAAGATGGGTTTTTTGATAATAGTACCTGATTTGGGGGAAGAAGATTGAATTAGTTCTTAGACAATGGAACAGTTTGCCAGGGAAGCTGTTGGACACCCCAATACTGGCATTGTTCAAAGCCGGGTTGGATAAGGCCTGGAGCAAGCTGGTCTACTGGGAGGTGTCCCTGCCCATGGCCCTGAAGGCTGGGACTGGATGATCTTTAAGGTTTATTCCAACCTTTAAATATTCTATGATTATATGATGTGACTGCTTTTATGCTAGGCTGTCTCAGAATGAGGCAGGGGAGTTAAGTAACCCTCAGTGCAGTTCCTAAATATGCTTGACTTTCAGGAAAGTCGATGTAGGTTTTCATGTCACTCTGGAGGAAATCACTTCCCATACGTTGTCCACCAGTTCTGCACTGACGTCACGGGAGGAATTGTGCTAGGAAGTTAGGACACCAGATTCTGTGTATCAGATTCCAAGGAAACATTAAGTATGTAAATGTTAGTTTTGTCACATAACCCATGTTGCTGACAACCTGATGTCAAGAGAACTGTCCCAGAGAAATTCCTAATTAGTTACCTCTACACAGTGGGGAAACATGAAAGTTAATAAAGAATAGTGTAGATGAGATAGCAGAAAGCTGTGGTGTCAGAAAGTGGGGAAATCTCTGCCTGTCTTCTAAGTGTATGGGTTTAATGTATGGAGCTGCATCAGTTTTGCAAAGAGGCTGGATGAATGGAGATGACTGTACCCAAACCATGGTGCCAAAACAAGTTTGATCATTGTTTGCACAGCTCAGGGTTTTCTGTTTTGGGCCTGAGAGGTCTGTGCTGCTCAGGCATGCCGAAGTCTGAGCTGCTTTGTGTCTTGCACCCATCTCAGCACTGTACCCAGAAACTGGGCAGCTCAGGACCAAATCCTGCAGAGCAGGAGCAGCTGGAGGGCTGTTCTGTGGCCACCTGAAGCACAGGACAAGCCTGTCACTGAAGGGGAAGAGGCAATGGCATGGGAAGGGGCTTGGCAGCTGAGCGGAGTTGAAAGCTGAACTTTGTAACTCAGGAGGGAGGCAAGAGAGTCCACAGGGAGAGGGTGGCATTTCAAGCATGTTCCTTCATTTAGGCTTCTCTGTCAGGCATGCTCCAGTTTGAGTATTCTGGAGGGCTTTGACTCGCCCTCTGAAGGCCTCTGGTCCTGCACACAGTGTGTCAGGATCCTGCCTCATGCTGGATTTTGGGGTTCTGTTTTATCAGCATGGGCTTCAGTTTGTGCCACTTCACTACCAAACCTGAGGGGTATATAACCCACAATGCTAGGTTGCTGAGGAACCAGAGCCTAAACTCATTAAGGCGTAGTAAATAATGTGTGAGAGTTTTACCAAAATCCATATAGGAAGTGCTTGTGAGATTGTGTTTTCATTTCCTCTTTCAGACTGAGTGCTCTCGCAATGAGTAATGCAGAAGTTACTGCGCTTGATCAGCTTTAGAGACTCCTTTAGCAATGCTCTCTGCTATGCTGTGAGGAAGCCTCCCTTTTGCTAAGGTATCTGTTCCTGGCAAGGGAATGACTTCGCCCCAGGGCTGAAATGTGTCTGGGCAACCTACCTGATTTCCCCTATACTGCCCAGGAAGTCAGGGGAAAGCAAATAGACACGTCCCAGTTTTCCCAACACACAGCTGGCATCTTGACCACGTACATTTTTCCTGCCTCCCTTTGAAAATGATACCAAAAAAGAATTAGGATCTCTTTTTCACAAAATAAGCATATTTCTTGTGTTTTATTGTTATTATTATTTCTTGTGATATATTCAGGTGCAGTGGCTAGACATAAGAAACAATTGGCTTTATTTTGTGTAATTCAGTAATCATCTAGGACAAGAGAAAGGCTTGTAGAGTTAAATACAGTGGGTTTCAAGAGTGTCATGGTTCACTCCTGAGCATTGCACATGCCGCACTATCCAAGACAGACCAAAATCAGAATTGAGTGAATCTAAGAACAAAAGGGAAATCAGGCAGCGGAGACAGGAACAGTTTCCTTCCTTAATCTTAATCCCCTTCCTAACACCAGCAGCTTTCTTTTTTCTCCAAGTGGGACAGAAAGCAGTGGATTAAGAAGAAATGTGACTTTTCTTTGTAGACTGACCCATATCAAAACCCTGGGTAATGTTATTTTGCATAATTTCTTATAAACCCTTAGTTACCTGTGGTTTAAGACTTTATTTTTTGCTGTCAGCCTACTTCTCAATGCAAAAATAAATTGCAAGCCTTTGCTCTGCCCCCATAAATATTTTCCACAACAAGGTGTTTGTTTCTGAAAGTCACAGATAATGACTCATAATGAGTTTTTTAAAAAGGAGAAGCAATGTATTTTTTAATGTATTAACTATTCTCTCACAGCCAGATATTTCCCTCCATTGCACAGCATGAAGAGGTGAAAGGGAGCAGAAAAACTTCAGTAAGAAATACAAAAAATCTCCCAGAAGCCAACTCAACAACCAACCAAGGATCAAGAGAAACAGGTCAGGTGTCAATTTTACTTCAAATTTTGGAATTACCTACATGTGCAGAGTGCATGGAGCTGAGGGTCTTTTATTGGAGTTCCAGGTCATTTGGAAGTGAAATAATGGATAAAATGTGTGAAGCAAGTATTATTACTGAGAAAGGTCTCAAATAAATCAAATTCAAATTTTTGGGAAGTTATTTGGTCAAGATCATTCAGGAAGCATAGTGGACAGAAATGGGTGGAAATCAAGACATGTTAGAACATGTTTCTTGCTCTACAGTTTTGTTTCTTTGCTGAGTTCACTCACTTCAAAAGTTGTTTTTGAAGTATTTTACAGATGGATGCACTGTTTCCGAAATGCAAACTACTTAGCCAGATGGCTTCACATCTGGATTAATCTCAGCATGAAACAGAGAAGAGTAGTTGCATTTTTAAGTATCTGCTTTCTGTAGCATACCTAAAATTGGTGATGATCACTAAAGACATTTATATCAGTATAATTTGCAAATAGTATTTTTTTCTCTACTTCTGACAGTTCTGAATGTTTCTGATGGAAACATTTCAAAATGTTTGGGTGTCTGATTTGCTTTATCATAATTGCAATGGAAACTTACTGCCTGATTGCTTAGGCTGGTATTGGGAAACCCAAACCCAGTTAAAAACAGATGAATAGATGTTTAATGTGAAAATGAGGAAACGCGAGTTCTCACATAAACTGGTGATGTGCTGAAGCCCCTTGTTCGAAATCTTGTCTCAAACTAAAATGACAAGTGAAGATTCCCAAAATGCCTTCTGTGAGTCTTCCTTCCCTTCATCACTGCTGATAATCAACTGAATTAATTTCATTTTGTAGAGAAAAGAATCAAATTGATTCCCCAGCCTAACTGTGCAGCGCTGCTCTGTAAGTTTTTCATCAGCAGGTTTACAGCATGTTTACATAGGCTATATTCTTTTTATATTTTTGGCACAAACTGCCTTTCATCTACACATAAATTATCTTTTTGTTTCCTTTTTGCTTTATCTTCTAAATTATTCTGTCGGTCTTTAATCTTTCTTGGAAGCAGTATGAGTTTATCTTGGAATGAGTTGTATTGTCATAATGTTAATGTAGACCACCAATTCATTAGCTGTCTTCAGAAAGTGTCCATCCTGCAAGGAACATAAAATGCATGACATTAGATCTGGATCAGGCAGTCCATTGCTACTGTTTCATGGCTAGAGGTGATCTGAGGTAACTTCACTGAGCCCAAAATACTTGCTGAAAAGGACTTGGTTTCCACCTCTGTGCCTCTGGGTTTCAAGGCTGCTTGGGAAGCCAGTGCTTGTGCCTCTGCCTGAGAAACAGACATTCCACTGCACCAGTCATCCAGGCCCCTCTCCTTCAGCTCAGGGGCAGCTCTCCTGCTGTGCCAGAGCACTTGGGCTGCTTCAGGAGAACGGGACAGGAGTGCCCTCCCTGCAGTCTGATTGCCTGATCTTACAAAGTGTACAACCTCTTGTGCTGATGGCTCCTAAGTGTAGACTGTAGACACTTGAAATCCTGAAACTACCATCACAGCTTTGCTTTCATTGTTGTAGTAGTACTTGTGGTAGCTGGAAATGATGTGGATCTGGCCATCTCAATTTGTCTATGCTGGGAAACGTGGGAGTCTCAATGTCTTGTGGTGCCTCCACCTGTTCAGCCTCCTTTTGCTGGTAGAAGAGAGAACATATATGCTGAATGATACTACTGATCAATCCTGACCAGTTCTTCAGAGGGATCCTCACTGAATTACAAAAAAAAACAAACGTGTACACCAATGTTGAATCAGCCCAATGTGCCTTCCTTTTGCACCAAGCCAGTTAAACATCTCCTCTCGTATTCCAGGCAGGGCCATATTCCAGGTTGCAGAAAAATCCCAAGTGTCATTCTGCTACCGGAGAGCGAATTGCACATAGCCATGCCGGGCAGCTGTGGATCTGCTCCTTTTCTCCTCGCACGTATTGAGCTGCTGGGCTGTGCCCCTGTAGCAGGGAGGAGGCAGCTCTAGGAGCAGCAGAGTGCAAATAGAAAGCTTTCTGCAGCCTGAAAGGTTTGCCTCCCTCCCCCATCTTCAAGGTTTTACAGCTGCTCCCATAGTCACCAAAGAGAGAAAGATATACCAACCCACAACAAACCCACAGAGGCAGAGCTGTGAAGCTCTCACCAGGAAGCTGACTTACAACTGAACCTCTCCACTCTTTCTTGTCACACTGCATCTGGGTCTGCTGTGACTGCTGCCTCCAGATGAACTAGACCCAGCTGCCAGCACTGCTTTGGCCTGTGTGTGCAGATGTCTCTGCTTACCTTTAGAGCTTTTGGATTTTTTATCCTCTTAATGATAGAATTGTTCTAATATGCTAAAAAGTAAATCAATCTGAAAAAGCCAGGAACACAGAGCACCACTCTTCTTTTTATTTCCCTTGTCTCATCTAGGATAGTTGTCTTCCATAACATTTATTTTCCACAGCCTCTTTCAGCTTCCTGCCTCTGGTGAGTTCATTACATTTTATTTTTTTATTTTTCCTAGGAGTCTTAATGTGAATTTATATTCTGAATCAAATTCAATATATTTTGTTTTACTTTTGTTAATTACTTTCATTAATAAGTTTGTGAAATTGGTTGTGAAACATAATCAGTTTTACTTTTCTGTTAAATACCATCTGTTAAATGCTCGGTGTTGAGATATATAATTGCACACTGGCCTAGATCTTGCATTTTCTGGATTTTCATTTGTTCCGTTTTTTTTTCACCTCAGCATAAAAAGGCCATATATAAAGTAGAAAAAGGGGTGTGATGGGCTGTGCCATGGCAGTTTCTTCCATGTTAAGTGATATAAGAAAAAAGAAAAAAATGGGAGTTACTCTCAAGATGGTGGATCTGATTCTGATGCTCTTTTCTGTTGTATGAACTATGAACGCAGGAGTGACAGATGTATAAATCTACAACATTTCAATTTATGGTCTTCTTCCCTACTTATGAGAAAACTGTTCTGTTTCATCTTAAATATTCCTAAACAAATTTAGGTGAAGATTTTATTGTGAGAATTTGAGAAAAACATTATTTGGACTGGAGCAAGATTCAAAGTATTTTTAATTTGACAACATATCTGTGGCTGGCTTTGGCTCCAGCAGCTGCCTGGCCCTGCTGGGTCTAACAAATGCCTGTGCCAACTTCTGAGATGGAAGATTCCCATCTAAATGGCCACATCTGTACCTCTGCATTCAGGTCATTCCCATGGCTTCTTCTCTGCTTTCTGGGCCAGCTGTGATGTGCTTATGGTGTGGAGTCCCCTTACGGAGCAGTATGTGTGTATGTGCATGTGTGTACATCTGTGCACACCCATTTCCAGATTCTCCTCACAAAACCTACATATTATGATGCTCTAGTGGTGGAATGGTCTTGTCACATTGACAATGAGATGCAGTTAATCTGAAAGGTGAATGAGGATAGAGCACACTGAGGCTGGAACCATCTATCTGACACAAGTCCCTGCAAAAAATCTGAATGTGGATTTAAGATTTTCTAACTTCTTGCAGCTGTGTTTCCACCTTTGGTTGGGGCAGGAGTTGAACTGTGGCGTCTGGCAGAGGCCAGCTTTAACGTGGGACTTATCCTGACAAAAAATACTTGCAGAAGAAAAAGGTAGGGCAAATGAGATAAGTTAGTTGTTAAGAGGCACATCTGTCAGCAAATTTTGGTGTCTGTTGCTGTCAGAATAAGGTGGGATTGTGCTTTATATTGTGCTGCTTCATATTTCACATTTTCAACCCCACCTTTTAGATCAGTGTGTGGTATGTTTGTGATTTACCAGTAGGAAGGACCATACGTGTATACTTACTTGACTTTAGAATGGCATTTGATGTAGTTTTTCTGAGACTGGTCTGAAGATCTATTTATACAAATGAAGTCAAATTTACCAGAGAAAGTGGGCACAGACCTTATGTGAATACTATGTATGAGGTTTGGGCAGTAACTGCAGGGTCAAAAAGTCACATGTGCACTTGCTTCCTGCTAAGTTTAGAGGGTAGGCTTTAGTGAGGCATAATACCAAGTCTTATATTCCCTAGATTAAGTGCTAAAAATGAGGAAAAATTGTAGGTTTGTAGTTATAGAAGATCAGTGTTTTTATGAGTAATCTGTACTTACTAAATTCCAGAGCAAAGAATCAAATTTAAAAATGGATTTGATTTTCATGTATAGCAAGACACAAATTCATAGGCCATCAGCAGGGCAACATGGCTGTAAATTACTGTCATTTAATCCCATTTTAAAATAAATTTACTGTGCCAAAGAAGTGTGAAATCATCTCCTGGCAGAAGAGCATCAAGCTTCAAAATGGAGAGACTGATGCTAAAGTCACATTGCTGGTAACAGCTGCTAGTGCCAGCGATGTTAGGGAAGTAATCTCTTGTACAGTGAGAGGCAAGCCATACAAATCCTCAAAGATGTAAGTGGGTGATCTGCAGCATACCCAGAGCACACAGGAAATGAGCCAGTGTGGTGGCGGTCTCGCAGGCTGCGCCTGTCTTGTAGAGCAGTGGGTCTGTATCAGCAGAAGCTCCCTAGGAGCTTTTCTCAATGATGCTTTCTGATAACCAGCCAGGAGGACAACCAGGCAGGGAGATTGAATTCTGCTGTTTCTCCTCTTGCTTTTGCTGTGCAGTTCTAGATGTATAGTAGCAGGTGGATTAGGCACTTTAATGTAAAAGATTTTCTGTGAAAATTATCTCTTAATCCCCCATTTTCTTTGTGAAATTTTGGTGCAGTGATTCTATAGTTTTCCCTAAGAAACAGTAGAATGTTATTGAATGCACCATTCAAATGATTGTTTGACATTGACCATAAAATGAAAAATTGTGGCTTTTTCTATAGTGCTTTTGATTATTGTTTGAAAAGTGATAAAATAAAACTTGTAAATAAAACTGTAAAACTTGCCATTTTCAAAGTCTTGGTGTAACATTTCAGATATCACACCACACAGCTTAGCATCGTTCCCAAATTAGGGAATGTTTCTCATGTTTTTGGCTAGTGGTGTGTGGATTTATTAAATCCACTCTTTTCGAATGTTTCCATGCTATGACACAATTTACAGCTGCAAAGTATTTTGAGATAACTGCAGCATACCAATTTAGAAAGGAAGTTGGTTGCAGCTGTCTCAAGCCCACTATTAAAGCATTATGGCCTTAAAATACTGGACAGGACCACACAAGCAAAACAAATTAATGTAACAACAAAATTTGTGGGCTGTAGTCTACCATTAGCTTTTCTCCACAAAACCAAATGTAGTCTCATATTTACTTAGCAGGATTTAGTTTTCTTTCAATTTTTGTATCAGTGAAGAGCTGGAAAACCTTTCCAATCCACCAGAATAATCAGTGTACAGTGGAAGGGGAGACCTTTGGCATCTGCAAAACCTCTGTAATGCAGCAGTGAGTGTGAGTACTGGAAGTGATGGCCACAAACTTAAATGTATCAGGTCTAATACGAGCAGCTGGCAAAGTGGCAGGGAGCAATAGTCCCAGCAGTCACAGTTTGTCACTGCTGACAGGGTGTCTGGAGGATGGGGGAACATGGTGTGAGCACTTAGTGCGTGCTTGCGTGCGTGCGTGCGTGCGTGCATTCCTCGCGGAGCAGGTACGGCAGTGGTTTGTGCCCAGCCTTGTGGCTGTGCCCTGTGTTTATCTCGGACCCTTTATTGCTCCCTCCCTTCGCAGTTGCCTGCTGCTGCGTGTGCGTTGTGTTGCTTTTGCATGAGAAATTGCGTTTGGTCTTTGGTTACAGAAGCCAAGGAGAAGTGTAAATTGCTAAGGGATGAGGGTGGGACTAAACTTGGCATGCTTCTCTTTACCTGGCAAAACGTATGAACCTGCTGGAAAACACACAAGGATTCTGCTATTGCTTAGGGATTTCCCTACAGGGAGCCATGCTGACCTGTCACATAGGAAAGACCCAGCATGTTCTGGAAAAGGAGCAAACACCTCTCCTGGCAGAAGCTGGCACAGTGGGCTGTGGTTACACGCTGTGCATGATGCTGCTTCGCACGCACAAGTGTGAGCGAGGAGTACCAGTAACTGACACTTGCCAGCTTGAGGTTGTTGTACCATCTGGTGATACCACTTCTCCTCATGAGTGACAGTGTGTTGCTTTTGAAGGTTAGACTGATTTATGTCAAAATGTAGATGTAACTGGCTGTCCCAATATAAAAGCATGAGAGCAAGACGCCTGTGTAGCTAGGGGTCTCTTTTGGTTTTTTCCTGTGCCATGGTCATTAAAAGAATATGAAAACTCTCAAACTTGTAAGAAAACTGTTCTTTCCTTTCATTGATAAGCATGCCAGTGGACACACAGCCTTCAGCTTGCCTTTTTTTTCCATCAAATGACTGTACTTAAAAACTGGTAAAGACTTTGGAGTTTGAAGTTACTGAGCTACTGATATACTCAAATATCTATTACTTAATCTATTAATTATTTAATTGTCTGTGAGCTTTTGTTTTTCTCACTATAAAAATATATTATGAAACAGCTGCCATAAAAACCTTTCATGTAATTTCTGTAGTTTCCATCAATTTAAATGCAAGTTTTTAAATTCCCATCTCTTTCAGTGGAGTTTTAATTCCGGTTGAAAAGCCGTCGGGTAAAATACCTCTGAGTTTGAATCAAGTCCATCAGGATTCAAAAATAAAGCATGGGAAATGTTCTCATAATGTTCAAACATCTCTCTCCTAAAATATCTCTCTTTTCATATGTGTGATCATTTTCATTCAAAATATGTAAAAATCAAGAAAATCAAGGAAAATTTTCTATGCTTCCCACTGAAGAACTCTTCATTAAGATTTGCCATAGCATGGGGATTTACATGATCTTTAAACTGACTGAAAGCCAAGTAGATGTCAGCTATAAATATATGAAATTCTCAAAATACTCAGCTGAAGAATGAGTGAGAAGGATTTATGTATTACTTTTGGTTGTAGAGTCTTTTCTCCTCTTAACCAATTCCATATGACCTGCTGCTGTCTGCAGTACTATATGTTTTATATGAAGACAGCAAGAGATGAAGGTTGTAATGGAATCAGAGAAAAGTAAAGGAAAACAGGCACTAAAATATATATTCTGTTCTGGCATATTGTTGGTGTAAGATATAAATCAATATAAAATCTGAGCTACCAGGTATAACTTGTGCTAATTCCAGAAAAAAAAAACAAAAACCAAACCTTAATCATAACTATGCATGGAACGTAGGCAGTTTGATGAAGACAAGTATGCATGCCCATTTATTTTATCTAGTTTTATCTGCTTCAATTAAGGAATTCTAGAAAAGCTGCATGGTAGGAAAAAAAAAATCCTGTTTGTATTGTAAATACATATCTCTTATTTTATCTGTGTGCTGGATTCAGTGCATGAATACTAAGTCATGGCATAGATTGTTGAAGGCAACTCCTTTTTAAAAATTTATAGAACAAATCAAAAAGATAAAAATCATAAATCAAGAAATACAGGACGAGTTATCATAATTGTATGTTTTATATCACACCTGCTACTTGAAAAGTAATTGAAATTATTTCTATGCAAGCTCTACAAATTTTTAACATTTTTATGTACATATGTGCACACAAAATTCAAGAAAGATATTAAAGATGGCAGTTTCCTGCTGTGAAAATCTAGAAATATGATTTTATGTGATGATGATTTATATTTTTTTATGTGAAGTCTAGACTATGATTTTAAACACTGATATATACAGAGGCAAGAAAAAGGTTTTTGTTGCTGGCAATTCTAAGGGGAAAAAACTAAAATTATCAGGGAGTTTCTGTGTTATAAAATAAATATCCAACCAAATTATTGTTGCTTCCTTTGCTAGCTTTGCTCATTAATGTCAGAATTTTAATATTCATCACAGCAAAATGAACAGTGACATGCAGTAAATATGAGTTCTTCCTAAATTAAAAACAAATAATTATGTTTTATGAAGAGGTCATTATTTTGAATTGTTCAATCAACTGCAATAACATTATTACTACTCAAAACACCTGTACATCTGACACTTTATTCTTATCACAAAATATACCAAAATAATCTTCCATGGAACACTGGCTAATTCTGTTCTAACATTTTCCTCCTCCGCCATAACCTCCCACTGAAATCAAACCTGTGCAAATACATAACGAACATGGAGAACCTCCTTCTTCTTCCGCTGGTATTAGGGGGAGACAATCTAGACTTGAGAATCTCCTTATTTTGTACTATGTTTTATAAAATCAGAGCAAAGTTAAACCTGAAGAGACTTCCGAAAGCAAACTTGGAGATCTTGCAAGGGATGCATTGAGGAAAGTGGAGAAACGGTAGGGCAATTTTTAAAGACCTTTTGACACTGAGAAGCATGTTTTATCGCCTGTATCATTCATGTATTAGCTTTTAGCTATACTGTTACTGTTTATTACTTCACAGCATTTAAGGGAGCCAGTCAGGAAGATCAAGTGCAGTCCTACCACAGGTTAGAGACAAAACACACAGAAGTCAGCCTGCAAATGCAAGTGTGTGTATGGAGATGCCAGTTTGTTTTAACAATTTATCATGTTACACATCTGCGGAATTTAATATAAATCCATGCATCTCCTTAACAATAAGTCATTGTAACATATTGT